TTTTCCTAAGTCTGAAATGTCTTGCATGTGGAGTATGTAAAACACCATTCTACTAAAAAAAAAATCCAAGCCCTCACACCTCCAAACCACATTAAAAATTCATCTTCTCTAAACTATTTCTGACTTTTATAAGGAACAGTTCAATCAAGCCACTTGATTGAATTCAATTCAACAGCATTGTAGCCTCCAGGAATTCATAACGTATTGTTTGCATGTGAAACACTTGCTTTCACGTGACATAACAGCATGACCACCATAAGCAAAACAGCATAGCTTGCTAACACTGCCACATACAAACCCTTTTAATGTGGTAGCAACTTAATTTGCGAGTATAGTAGGAGCAATAGCTAACCTGTAGCATCCTGGTGGCACAGATGTATCTTCAGAGATAGTTCAAGTAAATTGTGTACATACAAGAGAAGGAGAGGGGCAGGAGGAATTAATTTAAGCATATTAATATGAATGTTCTGTAATTGGTTATTTATAAGTAGTAGGTAACAGTGTGAAAGATGCCCTTAGATTTTTTGAGACTTCCACATTTGGACTTGAGAAAATTTCGATGCTTCGACATTAAGAAACTCCCAAAATCACATTCTGCTATAAAAAGCTAATAACAGAGAGGTGATGGAGGTGGCTTTTTTTTTTCCTCCCTTTTTTTTCCCTTTTTAAATATAAATTTAATTATGGACTCAAGCCTTGGCATGGGTAGTAATTTCAGCAACAAGTTCAAGGACACAGAACAGAAACAGCCATAACCTATTACGGATACATAAACTGAGGTGGGAAAATAAGCAGCTTGCCAAATAGCTACTATGCCTACGAGCCTTAAGTAGCAGGATTACAAAATTCTAATCACTGAAAGATTACCTTCCAGAAATAAGCTTACAAAAGAAAATCTCAAGTAGTTCAATATTAGTTTATTAAATCAGCAATTACTGCTCTCTAAAAATTATTACAAAGCATATTAAAATATATTACAGTATCTGCAAGGAATTTATTGTGTAATAAAAGTGCAACAATAATGAACTTACAACTTTGTCCACCCAGTTCAACAAACTGAAGCACACTGCACAGATCAAGCCTTCCCTCAAAAATTAGAGTGCCTTTGAAGTAAAAACACAGTATTTTAACAAAATATATTAGAAAAGGTAAGCATGTGAAGTAGAGAACAAAGTTAATGTTCATTCTCTCAGTGCTAAGTTACACATACCCATCAAACCATACACTTCAAGCTCTGTTTGAATTTCAAAAATACGAAGAGCCATCAAAGTGAGTGCACATTGTGAAGAGAGGGAAGTGAGAAGAAGAAAAAGAGGACATTTCAAGATCGGGGTGGGGGCAAGAATGATGTTCTTGAAAGCCAAGAGACCATATACTGCTGCTTTGAGACCAGGTTCCACACAAATCCATACCATCCCCAACTAACAACTGGGATCTCACCCTGACCTAAAAATCTTTGTAAACTCATCATTTTCAAGCTGTTACAGCTTTAAAGGCTCTCGCTGTCCTGTAGTGTGGTTATGAGCGGTAGCTCCACCTTTTCTGTTCTAACCTAAAACAAAATTCTAATTAATTTCTTTGGGAACAGAATTGGGGTTGGGAATTAAAACTGTGTTGTGGAATAGCTGGAAGAGAGGTAAAAGAAGCAGTCTCTACTTTGGTTTATGGCAGCAGGCTACACCAGTGGGCACTAATTTCACAGGATGAATTACTGACAGCAGCAAATGTAATAAAAATCCTAGGCATAAACCTGCCAACAAATCCAACATCTTAGTCTTTCTTCACCAGATAGTAGTAACATCAAACTGAACACCAAAGGTTACTTCATACTGCTGTTCACAACAACTACTTAGAACACAATTTCACGAGAGAAGGTAATCCTGCTCGCTTCTCATGCTTCTCTCACATGGACTCACTAACTCCACTTTTATCCAACCTGTTGCGTGTGGCTGATTTAACTAACCCAATGGGCTTGCAGGATCTGACAAGCCAGACAGCCAGCAAGGCAAACAAGGTAGGCCCAAGGGTTTGGGAGGAGGTAGCGAGAAGAGATTCCTTCCCCTGAGCAACAGCAACCTACTATATCAGTTTAGCTGTGCAAGAAACTGCTGTTTAAAGTCCATGTGAAATGCACTTTATTCCTATCAGCTAAGTACAACGCTAGCGCACTGCACCACATATCCAGAAATCTGTGCGTGTAGCTCTGCACGCCGATCTGAAACACTTCTATTTCTCCAGACAAACAGGAAATCTGCATCTACTCCTATACGTGCTTTGTGCATTCTCCTTCCAAATTCTACAGGAAAACAAGAGCATCTTGTTTGCACCCAATCTAGACAAAACACTTTAAATTATCAAAATGATGGATTTCAATTTGTCTCTCCTAAGCCCAAGTGAGTGCGCTGTCATGGAAACTAAAGAAAAAGGCTGTGTTCTCTATTTTACTACCAATAAGTTAGGAAAATAAAAATCATTGAGAAACTATCCTGTTCCTCTTACTGAAGGAGGTTATTTCTACTGGCATGGGATCACATTGCTCCAACGCATTTGGAGCATCACCCCTGGAAGCTACACCCAGTGGGAATGCAAAACACGGGTCCACTCCTGGCACCCGGTGCTGCTCAAGAGCAAGGTAAGGCAGACAGAAGATCAGTAGCTTCCCAGATCCTCTCAGCTTTGCCTGTACTACAGTAGTCACAATACACAAGCTTCCTTTCTTTTGCCTGGTGGCTTTCCTTACTAAGCTAGTCAGGTTGGTCATTAGTGTATGAATTCATTACTGACTGCAGATACTACACAGAAACGAGCACGCATTACTACTTCCGCAGCCTGATATGTTTGTTGTTTGTTGTTGTGTGTTTTTTTTTTTTTTAACAACTCCTGCAATGTCTATAGACTACTTTTTGTTCAATCAAAAATAAATTACATAGAAAATTAGTTACTCTGCAGATGTACAGTCACACAGGTAGACTCATGGTCAAGTTTCACAGCTCTACTAAAGTGCACGGAAATGCACTAAGGCCAATTTGGCTCCTAAATTAGGCCTAACAGAAATAAAGTCGGTATGCTTGAATGATAAGACACAAACCTAAGAATTAAAATAAAAGCAAGTCCTCAAGAACAATTTAACTATGCCAGGATATCCTTGACACAGGCCCGGAAGCCTGGCAAGGTAAAGGTGTTCTTCTATCACTGTTTAAAACAGCTTAATTGTTTTGCCATGGTAGAGCCCTGCCAAAATTCACTGTAATTTCACATCAGAATAGAACAGATGCAAAAAGATAAGACATCCATAATGATCTGAAGTATTAAACCTGACTGACAACCTACAAATGTAAGAATTTGAAAAAAAGCAGCAGAGGCTCTTCCTAGGTCACCCACAAATCTGAACATGTTTGACTAAAATCTTAACTGGGAGACAATACCCAAAATATTTCCCTTCCCACCCCTACTGCAAAGATGCTAAAACACTTTTTGGCTTGCTGTCTCAGAAGTCACTACTTCCGCCGCTTACTGAGACTCAAAGAAAAAGTGCTCAAAACTACAGTACCTTTGATGTGCAGGGTATTTCATTCCACAAATGGAATACAAGTCAATTCCTGCTCACATGCACAGAGCAGAACTGACTGCCAAGTTTGATTTTAGAAAAGCACTGGCCCTCCCTGAAAGACTCAAGTTCACAGGGCCAAAAATTTGCATTCTTTTAAGGTACTGATAAAAATCAGTTGTAAGCAGTCGATACATTCAACTTTGATTGTGTTGTTGGAAAAATGAGCGTTTATTAAACATCCATTCCTTTCACAGATTGCTTTCAATAAAGGAATAATATTTGAAGGGATCATTAATCACAATCAACGTCAAGATTCCTGTTAGCCTTCCCATCTTTCAAATCTGCCACCACAGAAATCAAATCTCCCTTTTGTGGTTGTCAGCTACCTGTTGGCAAAAAAAACTTTCCTTAAAAATATTATATAAAAAAATATACAGAAATAACTGCATAATTACCTGTAAATAGAAATTAAATACTAATGAAAATTTCCCCAGACAATTTGATGTCCTTTGAAGAGGCTGACTTTCAGCAATGCACCTTTTCTGAACAGAAAGTGAGGTTTGATTTCAATGGAAACATGATTTTTTTTAATTTTTTTTTTTTTAGCTTATGAAAACATTCTGCTGTCACTTTGAACAATTCAGGAATTTATTGTCTGCAGAGCAGCTAAACTGAAACCTCAAAAGAAACTCCAAATACAAGGAAGAAAGGAGATTCAGTTCTTCTAATGATAATACTGAGTATATAGTGCTGTATCAAACTGAAGAAGCAGTTCTTCACATAACAAGACATAATGATGACACATTGAAAGAATCATTTTAATATTTTGCAGTTCTAGCTATAATCAGTAAAGTTTTAAAACAAGTCTGCTTATATTCTAAGCACTAAAAAGACTCTCTCAATTACTCTTCTCTCTTTTTCTAACCTTTTATTAATAATAAAAATAATAAAAATAAAATTTCCTTTTACATCAGCCTTTGCTTAAACTATAGAGATTCTGACATTCATTCAATGCCCAAAGAATGTTTTTAGCACAGAAAACGTTCCTTGCATAGGCAGGGGAATTTAACATTTAGAGCTTCCTTGCACTATTTAAAGTAGTTTGGAGAAACTTATGGTTGATACGTGTTTAGGTTTGGTGAGGATCAGTGATTTTTATACACGGTCTTTTCTGCTCTATGGCTGTAAAGGCAGCAAGACACGGAAGCAGGACTACAAAAACATTTTCACCTTACAATAGATCTATACAAGGCACTTGTGATAAGCACGTCTGAGTGAAGGTCAGCAGGGACAGCTACACGAATGTTTCCCTGCTACCATGCTTCTAATTTCAGTAACTTGCGTGAAATGTGCTGCGAGGTTTAAGGATCTAAGTCTAATTTCAAATTTTGGTGGTTTCAACACATTTGCTGAAAGACTTCTAAAATCCTCATTCTTATTCTTGTATTTTTCACTCTGTTGTCTGGAAAGGTTTCCTGTGAGATGGGGGCACCAGGTGGGAAGGTAGCGTGCCAGGTATTTCATATCCATCCAGTTTAATCTTGATGAGATGTTTTGCTAATGCAAACTCCTCATCATCCAACATCCCATCGCCATCACAGTCTGCAAGTTTCCAGATCTTCCCCAAGACACTGTTGGGTAGTTTAGAAGTCACCATCTCCTTCTTTGCACTAATCCCAGATATTTTGCCATTGATTGGTGACAGAGTGTAGAAAATCTCATCATAAGCAGGCTTATCTCTGGCAACAACCCATTCATCTTCATCAGCTCCTTCCTTAGCGCCTTCTCCATATCCGTGGCCAAAAGGTCCTGCCATGGTGCCATCAAATGCTCCACCACGTACCATCTCTGTGAGCATATTGCTTTCTTCCTGTCTGATTAGGCTCATCAGGGAGGCAATTTTGTTGGCCAGCATGTTATCCACAGTTTCAATTAGCTTTGGTTTCAAAGAATGGAATTTAGTGAAGTCACAAGCCTCCAACTGCTCCTGTCAACACAAAGGTTTCAGTGACAGTAGTTAGAAACATTTCCAGTATATTGCAAAGGTTAAAGAATGGGCTTCAAATTAAAACAATGTTATCTTTTGAAGTAGTTTCCATACCTGAAAAACACCTCTTGAAGGAGAAGCAAAGCGGACACATACATACTATACACCCAATATATTGATAAAACACACTAAGACAATTTTGCAATAGTATATGAACTAATCTATTAAATTACATTTACGATAAAATTTTCAAAACGGCAATGCATAAAAACATGGCAGTTGATGAATGTTACCCAATAACTCTCCATTTGGCAATTTTCTTCCAAATATCAGCAAATGCATCCAAGTAGGTCCTCAGTCCTGCTAGCACTTATGCAAGTGTGTAAAGTTAAAAATAAATCCAAGATTTTGCAGGACTGATATGATTTTATAGATTAGACTTCTTGTTTGTGGTTAGGTCATGAAGAAGTGTCCTTTACCAATAAAGAAAAATTGAGTTGGGGTAACAGCAGCAGTGTTTTTATAGAAGTGCTGCCAGAACTCATGAAATCATATTTTCCTGCTGAGTTTTCATCTCATACATAAACTCCTACTAACCTCAGTGAGATGTTTAACTAGGTGATATGTGCTATTCTAACACAAGCCCAAGCACGTTTTACACCAGAGCATTGGAAAGTTAAAAATGCTTTAGGCAATCCTTAAATGATTTCTATATGCCAAATGCTAACCAGGAAGAAAGAGTTACAGGGGAAATCTGAAAAAAAAAACAAACAAAAAAACAATGCCCGCCAAAACACCTCTCAAAACGGTGTTAAACTGCTTTAACAAATCACATATTACCTCAGGGAGCTGCTCCCATACATATCAGAACTACAATGATATGACCGCAAGAAACGTGAAACACGGGCAAGTGGCTTTGCCTATGCATACACAACTGAATTTCTGAGATGAAAACCACCAACCATCGCTCTGTTCAGGTGATGTTTATACACTATCACCTGATGTACAGTAACTGATCAGTGATATCATTTATGATATGCAATAAATCCTCAAAAGCAAAGGTCAAACCTGCTATCTGTTTTGGCACAATTTTCTTTTCTCATAATTTTGCTCCTCATTACAGAAGTGGCGGATGTCTTGTATATATTTGCTGCCATCTGCTGCTGAGGCTTCGTGATATGTACTATTAGTTTGATAAAGTTCCATTCAAATTTTGTTTTAATATTCTAAATGACATCACCTCTCACTCTCTCATTTCACATCACCAACAAAAGCAGCAAGAGAAGAGCCAACTTTTTCCACACAACCCCCTTTTAAAGTCTAACTTGTCATACCCTTCCAACAATTGTGCTTGTGAAAACCTAGCTGAAATAGACCTTGTGCTTCATTTATAATTTACTGTCTCATGCCAATAATTGATTCCCAGTTTAAATATTTTAGCTTATAAAATAAACTTGTGTATCCCTACAGATTCGTATAGAGAGGTTAATCAGTCAGTCATCACTCTTTATGATTAGCAGTGTAAGCATACCACATAAATTGTCAGAATGATAACCAAGTGTCAATCTGGAAAATGTCCTCCATCACACTCATGACTAGTCCATAGTCAGACCAAACTGCAGGTTGCTGATCTCATGTTCTTCAGCTTCCAAGCTGAATTATCTTCTAATGCAAAGCTCATTTAAAAGCCTATGATCTAAGATCCAAAAGTTGCAAATTGAGGCTTGAGGAATAAACTGAAAAGCATTGCTAACACAACAGTAGTTGCTCTTCCCTAAAATACTCTCTGAACAACTCACCTCAAATCAGCAGACAGAAACAAAAAGGCAAAAAAGTGAAAGTTGGTAGTAAGATTACATAAAGTTCAAAAGAGGAACAAGCGACAAAAGGTATTTAAAAATTAACAATAAGAGTATAAATTGAGAACTTTGCTCTCCCTTCTTCATAGAATACAGACTCAAAAGGACAGGAAAAAACTGAAAGGCACTATCTGCAGAAGAGAGGTTTTAAGTTGGACTTTCAGGTAACACATTGCTTTTGTTACTCACTGGCAAACAATATCAGTTACAGCAAGAACAGAGTAGGGTAAAATTGAATAATATGTGACTAAGGATATCTTCACCTACACAAGTATATGATAGCATTACAAAAGAGATATAAATACCCACATTTAGGATACAAAACAAGAACCATTTAACCCGTAAGTATCCACTGCCATTTTATTTGCACAAAACCTTAAGATTTATCTGCCGTGAGGGACCAAATGCTGACTAAAAGGACAGAAGATCTGATTCCTTACGATAATTTCTATAGTCCTGTATCTGTGGATGCACACTAGGCAAGTTACCAGTTTTTTTTTGATCTGCACTGCTTCCGAGTCATGCTAACCCCATAACAGACACAGGACTGATTGTCACACCTCAGCCACTCTATTGAGGTGTGAGAGACAGGTGAGAGAGTTGGGGCTGTTCAGCCTGGAGAAGAGAAGGCTCCGGGGTGATCTCATTGCAGCCTTCTGGTACTTAAAGGGGGCCTACAGGAAAGCTGGAGAGGGACTTTTTACAAGGGCATGTAGTGATAAGACAAGGGGCAATGGATTTAAACTGAAAGAGGGGAGATTTAGATTAGATATAAGAAAGAAATTTTTTACTCAGAGTGGCGAGACACTGGAACAGGTTGCTCAGAGAAGTTGTGGATGCCTCATGTCTGGAGGTGTTCAAGGCCAGATTGGATGAGGCTTTGGGCTACCTGGTGTAGTAGTAGGGGGGTTGGAACTAGATGATCTTTGAGGTCCCTTCCAACTCTAACCGTTCTATGACTCTATTGCTGAAGACCATAAACTATAATGCTGAGATACTCTGTCCAACCTTTTTTTCCTATTTGGCAATCCTGTTGGAAAGTTAGTATTATTTCAGTGGAAGTGTAATCTATCATCTTACCTGCATTTTCTTGACTTCAGGGAAGTCCCCTGCTGAGATATGGTATTCCCTTTGCAGCTGGATGTAGATCTCTGGTAACCTGCTGATCAGTTCCTTCTTCTTGTTCTCTTTTCCAAAGACAGAGGGCATTTCTTTTTTCAGATAGCTGATGATATAAGCATGAACCTAAGAAGAAGCAAAACTGAAATCAAGACTACTGTTTATCTATACTTAACATTGGTGCTCTTCACCCAGGTCATAAAAAGAAATAAAATTTGTATGTTTCCCTAGGTCAGCTCAAGCATAAGATATCATCAATGATTGTTTCTGGAACTTCATGTTTATATGAACACTTATCAACTAGCTTTTGCTGCTTTCAGTATTCCTTGGAGGGGCAGAGAGAAAGCAAACACTTTCAAAAGAAATACAGATGTACTCTTGCAGTTTAAGGAGAAGCATGATACAGCACTCTAGCAGTACCAACAGTGAGAGAACAAGCAAGGCCCCAAAACCACGACCTGACACTACATGCATAGATCATACACAGAGTGCCAGTCATACTGGTCCATCTGTCTCAGTGGTAGAGATCTGTAACTCCATTTGTCTTATTATTGTGGGAAGCAATGGGATAATGCCTCAAGTAATCCAAGTATGATTAAGTGTCAGGGCTATCTAACTGAAGTGACACTGCATTCCAGAAAAGTGAGTACCTATAGTCTATATTTATGCAGTCACCAGAGGATGACAGAGCAGGCAGAATACTGTAAGAACAGCATGCCACGGCTGCCTTGCAAAGCCTTAGAGAGAAGAGCAGGGTCTTTCCAGCATATAAGGAAAAATATTAATTTATGACGACAAGTTCTAAAACACAATGGTGCTTGCAGAGCTCTTAGAGTCTCCCATTTGCCGTGATCAAGATAATCCAGCACTGTCATCAAAACATCCATCCTGCCCATGCTCCCTCTTTCCACTCTGACCTTGAATCATTCATCTCTTCCCCTTACCACCCTCCCACCAGATTCCAGCACCGAAAGGATTTGCTTGGCCACACAGCGAGTGATCTGGTTCAGGACAGAAACAGTGGTTGCACTTCTTAACTGAAGTGAGTTCTCTTATCCAGTTCATTGTGTGGACACTGGTACTCGTTCCACACACAAGTGAGGTGCAAGGGCAGCCTTCTTTTAGAAGTAATACACATCTATCAAAACTTGATGTAATCAAACTGCTTTCCTAAGTTCTGACCGAGCCAGGATCACGGAAGTCAAATGACCTCCACAACAAGATAAATCTTTACAGAACTCAGGTCCTTCTTCATTAAAAAAAGGGTGCAGCTGTTTTCAAAACAGAAGTTAGTTACAATTTTCACATGCACAGAAAAAAAACCCCAAAACATTAAAAAATAATGTCTATCAAACTGTTCAGCAGTAAAAAGCTGGAATTTTGAAGACTGGGGGAAGACAGACTACCACAAAAAAGCATCAATAGAAAAAGGTGGAAGTATAATACTTAATACCTACCAAAACATGACAGAATGTACCTTATATAGTATTCTGTACAAACCTTACTTATTTAGGAGGCTTACTGGAAACTGGAAGAAAAACCACTCTCTGTTTTCAAAGAAAAATGGTGTAACCAGTTTTCATTTGCACATCATCTTATTTGCATATTTGACAGGACAAGGGGTAATGGCTTTAAACTTTAAGAGGCTGGATTTCAATGAGATCTAAGGAAGAACAACTTCATTCTGAGGGTGGTGAGGCACTGGAACAGGTTGCCTAGAGAAGTTGTGGATGTTCCATCCCTGGAAATGTTAAAGGCCAGGTTGGATGAGGCTTTGAGCAACCTGATCTAGTGGAAGGTGTCCATGCCTGTGGCAGGGGGGTTGGAACTACATGATCTTTAAGGTCCCTTCCAACCCAAACCATCCTATGATTTTATGATCTCAAGATCACAGCTTTCAAGCAACATCACTTCCTCATATCTAAAAGAGTGCATGCATTTACACTGTAGATAAATTTAAATTTCAACAGAGGAGGGAAAAAAAAAACCAACAAACAAAATAGCATAAAGAAGCAGGGTTTCTGCATGAAACCGTGAAATTTTCTAATAGGGTAGATATCAGTATTTTTCCAGAATGACAGAACTGATTCAACCAGGATATTTCTAAGAGAGTTTATAAATAATTGTAAGCAATTTTATGGATCTTATGTTTAAAATAATAATTCTAGCAAACCCAGAAGAGTATGCTTACAGTTCACAACCACTAACAGTTTCTCATGTGCATGCTAAGTGATCTAAGGTCTACCACTATGCACATGTGTTTCTTGAAGATAAGAACAGTTCCCATCTTCAAAATGGGATAGTGAGTCACGGGGCTTAAAAAAAATGTAAAAGAAAAAAGCCTAATGTCCAAATTTGACAGCAAGTTAACAGTTTGCTTTTGGTTACTGTACACATTTTAAGAGAGATTAAGAACAGACTGGCATAGAAATAGGAGCAAATTACCATGCAATGCTGTAAAAAATGATTTTTTGAGTGTCAGTACTTTAAAGGTCAGTTTGGAAGACAGAAAGACAACACTGGAAAGATTACATTGCTGCTTTCCTGTAGATAAACAGTTTATTTCCCTTCCATAGCTGTCTAATTAGCATGCCCTATGAGCGTATTTTGTATTCACCTTTATCCATTTTTATTTTACGTTACATAGAAACACCTAAAGACAATCCATCTGACACTTTTCCAAAACGACTGTAACAAATGAAAGCAAAAAAGCTGCCAAAAATATCCACAAAACAGACTGAGATCATAGCAACTTTTAACATCATCAGGAACGTGATTTTACATGGAATTTTCAAAGAAGCAACTGCTATGGGGTGCCCTAAAGCTCAGGCCACAAAACCCCCTAAGTATATCATTACACTCAGAGTTAATTAAGCCAACATAGGAATTGGTATACATCCCGTACATGACTATTCTTGTATCAGTATAAGTGTTAGTCCTCTTCATTTTTGCTTAAAGTACACATGAAAATGTGTTCCAAGACAACTGCATTAACTCAACTCACATTCTGTTTGATAACTGTCTAGGAAATTGGGATTTCTGTCTGGTACCACCAGCTTTCTCCCCAAGTACTTCTGAGTTAGTTTTCCTTCTTGTCCAGCTTTCCAAATGACAAATCATAATTCTTGGATCACCAATTTTCATTTTGTTCTTGAGCTTTTCAAAACAAGAAGAAGCTTGGCAGTGCTTTTAACTATTATTCTAACAGCAACTGTAGTGCTACAATAAAAAAAACCAAACACCTCATTGCAGAATCAGAGAAACAGGCAAAGAAATATTTCAGACGGCAACCAAAGCTTACTGCAGTCAGGCTGTGAGAAGAAAAGACAGGTGAAACTAGCATTGTTAAGCAGGGAGTCTGAAGATTAGTGTAAAATATAATTAGAAAGGTTTACAAACAGGTAATTAAAACTTGGTGATAATTCACAAAGCTTTAAAGTGACATCCACTCATTCAAAGATAACTAGAGACCTAATAAAAAAATTAAATAGGTATTCAACAGTCAGCTGCAGACAGTCACAGTGTTGTCACACACAGCCTGCCCATGCACACCAGTCAGCGACTGTAAGTTGCACACAATGCATGTACTCCTCCAGAGCTGAAAACAAGGGGAACAGTGACAGGGGCTACCTACAGTGGGGCACATAACTCACGTTCCTGGACAACAAGAGATGGATTTTTCTGGATATGACAACACCAAGTCTGTATCATCCAGTGTCTCTGACTGAGAATGAAGATGTTACAATCTGAGAGGCTTAAGAGTTTCCATCTAATGCACAAGCACCTCTCCAGTTCATCAGTATCTGTGCTTCACCAAGATTGAGGCTTTTAATCAGTCTTGTATTCCACGGTATAAGACAAATGCATTTAGTCAAAGTGTTTTTCCACAGCAGCTGATTGACAGTATGCATTAAGGCATAAGCGTATGGAAGGTTGCATGTGAATAGTTTTGATTGTGGTTTTTTGCTCCTCTCCCTTTGGTGTTTTTTTGTTTGGTTGGTTGTTTTTTGGTTTTTGTTTTGTTGTGGGTTTTTTTTTTTTTTAAGTGTTCTCTACATACCAGCTATTGTTAAAAATAAAAAAAGAAAAAAGAAGCAGTTTATCTCCAAAAAGTAACATTAAGATTACCTCGTTGCACAGTGTAAAAAAAAAATATAATTCACTCCCCTACCAAGCAAACAATAGCTTTAATGGCCTAAAAACCATCAAATCTCTTCTCTAAAGTTAGGGAGGCATCCCAGGACAAGTCTCAATTTCCTCCTGCTTGCTTCTATATCCTGAGTGGCCACCTCTTCCTTGAAAAACTGACAATTCAATCCATTTGCTGAAAAACACACAGTTTATAGGTAGAAAAAGATTGGGAAGGGTGAGAAAGGATACACTGAAAGAGACAGAAGAGACTGCTCTGCTCATTCAATTAACTTAGTTTTTTTATCTTTCCTTACCTTTGCAAGTCTTGCCCTCTTAATGAGATCATTAAGTTTCCGCACAGCAGCCTTCTGTGGGAGACTCTGGATATCCATGAAAAGATCCTGTGCCTCGGCTTCAAAGAGTCTTCGATTCTCTGTGTTTCGGAGAGGATGGGCCCAGAAGGAGCCAATGTAGACCCGCAGCACTTCTGGAGTGTTAATCACCTTTCCCAGGGACCACATGAGTGCACCGTAGACCCTCATCAGCTGCTGTGTGTCCACTTGGTCAGCCTTATTGAGCACCACCCGAATCTTGTCATCCTGGCCCCGGAATGACTTAATAGCCTCTGAAAACTCATCTGATATATCCAGCTTATGGGCATCAAAAAGGAGGATGATGCGGTCGACCCTCTCAGCGAACCACTGGAGGACTTGGCAGAAGTCGTAGCCTGAAGGAAGAATACACCATTACAGTCCTACCATTCAGGAAAGCGAGTCTCAGCGAAGGTAGGGCTGGGGGCAGAGAACAAGGGGATCATAGCATCTACCAGCAAAAAAGAGGAGATGGACCACCTGGAGGAGAGTGTCTGTGAACAGTGAGGTCAGGACAACTGTATCCTACATTTCCTTTGGACTGGTCTCACTAGTACCACCTTTTGTTTTTATCACTGCCCTTCTTTCAACCTTGTCATCCATCTCTTACGCCACTATCTTTTGTGCTGCTGTGAGTTATCATCTCACACCCAAGTTTGCCTCTTCCCAGGACTTCTGGCTCCAGCAGAGCACCCAAGTTAAGCAGGTCTTACCACAAGCTCTCTTCATCACTATTAACACTGGCCACTTTGGTAGCACTGCCTATCTGTACTAACAAGGAAAACAGCACAGGTGCAGCACTCCAGCATAAGTCAGCAACAGGAAATATTTGGACTTTAAAACCCTTTCCAAACTCATCTCTCCTTCCATTGCAACACTTGCTGTTATTTCTGCCACAGCAGACTCAGAGATCCAATTTACAAGTAATGTGCCTGCGTTGCTGGTGGCTTTGGGGATGTGACAGGTTACAGAACACAAGCAGTGGCCCTTCTGATCATCCGAAACAAATTTTTTGATGTTCTAGAGGAAAGCCTATTTGTAGCACCTGTCTGGATGCTTTTATAAGTGCAGCTGATATCTAATCCACACAACAAATAATATTCAGGAACTCCTTATTCAAATAAAAGTGACACATTTAATCCACAGAGTCACCACTAGTGATGTGGTAATGGCATGGATGTGACTCATCTTGTTTGAGTAAAGAACAGCAAAGCGTGAGCTGGGACTTGACATCCCACCCCTCCTCTTCCTCTCCGAAGCAAATCGGAGCTAAAAGAGGGAGCAGTCAAAACCCAAGCACTAGCATAAAGTAACCCAATCAACAGTTTTGCTCCCAGTAGTGCATATCTAAATGCCAACAGCAAAGAAACACTCAGTTACCACCAGTGAACCCTCCAGGGTGTTTTTGGTCATTTCTCAGCTGTGTAAGATAAGCCTTTAAACCTCCAACCCCTCAGCAGAGAAAACCCACTTAAACTACTCATACATGAGCCAATTATCCAAACACTTCATACACCTGGTCCAGATACAAACAAAAGACTCTTCACCACTCCTCATTCTCCTAGCATCTTTTAAACAGTATAAATAAAAGGGTATCGGGACATTGTGAAGTTGCTTAGTTTTTCTTAAAACAATGCTGGTTCAGCCTAGTCATTATTCATTATACCTTCAAGTTGTCGGTCTTTAACAGGGAATCCAAAACCAAATCAGCTTTTTTTCACTTGCCAGTAGAACCTGACCAGGGCCAACATCAAGAAAACCAGACATACGTGAAAGTAATAAAAAAAAATGGCAAACTCCAGAATTGTCATGGAGCATATCTGTCCATGTTAGAAACACAGGAAAGAACTGTCTTACATCTTTTGTTTAAAAATTACAAATAGCATATGAAATGAAGTCCAGAAATTCTAGTTAATAGTAAGAAACCGTCCCCAGTTATCTGTCTTCCCTGCCCCCTCACCCTCCCAAAGAGAGATTGTAAAACTTCACTAAAAATGTAGCACAGACACACCAAACTGCAAGGAGAGGGCTATTTTAAAAAGGTACTATTAGGATCCAAACGGATGCAGGTCAGACTCATCAACTGGCTGTATGAAAAAGGCAACATAACTTTTCCCATTAAATGCATTACTTTGTAAGGAATGCAAAATCTGGCCCCTTTCCAGACAATGCTGCTTTGGCACTTTCGTACGTTCCTTCCTGTGACCAGTTCCTGAAGGGCTGAACACAAGATGAAAGGTGAGGGCAAGGAGGAAAACTGCACAAAACACAGCTGGAAGAGAACTCTTCTCACTTTACACTAACAATCTGATCAAAACCAGTGTGAATAATTTATCTTTATAAAAATTTAGCAGGAAAGAAAGGGAGAAGCAAGATCTTGTATGTCATTTGCACGTCACAACGTAGCTGCAACAGTGCTCAAGTCTGACCTATGCAATAACCTGTTCTGATTTCACTCATGTAGAAGGAAATATGCTTGAAATGAAATACACAAAATCGCAAAAGGAAGCAAGTTAAATTATATTATTTTCCACAATTTGCACATATGAGAAGGTGACTTATAAGGCTGGTTAAATAAATACCGAAATTCCCACCATCGGATTTCTGATGGATTTTGAACTGTGGAAACAATTGTACAGTCAACAAATATATGTTAACTAGCAATAACTTTATTTTAAATATGAATAAAATATTAATGAAGCATTTGCTTTGAGAAAGAAAAGTCCGCTTGTTAAAAATGGGTAAGAAAAAGAATTCATAAAAAAAATCTAAAAAAGCTATTCACTTTAATGAAAATTTGTCATGAGAAGTGAACTTACTCTATATACAGATGTAGTGGTTACACGTTAGAGCGTATCTGAACTGCAGAGAAGTGATGCATGATTAAATGTTTCAGCACTGATACACAACGCATTTAGGATCCTGTCACATACAGCGCACGTATGTGAGTTAGGGATTTCAAAGTTCAGCAGTACTAGGTCAACGCTGAAAACTTGACAAAAAAAATTTGGTGTTGATACTTCTCAGCCTCTTGCTGCTCTACTGTTGCTTTTTCTTCAAAGGTTTGTTGCCAATGACTGATATCAGCAATTACATCCAGCCTGAGGATCTGTGTCTTACCAGGTACAACATCTACTTGCAGACGCACATTAGAAAGTCAATAGTGAGCCCTGTACCTAGCCAAGGGACAGAGGAAAGCAGTGATCCACCAGCAGCACTGCAGAGCTCCTAAGCTTGTCCCAAGCCACAGGGCGGGAGTGACCTTGTGCCTCCAACAGAGGCACAACTGTGGGGCATCACAGTAAGGGACTGAGCAGAGACCGCAGAGGAGAACAAAATGAAACAGTGTGGAAGAGAATGAAAAAGCTGGAGAGAAACCGCACGTCATTACCAGCCCTGGAAACAGCCGATGAGAGGAGTGATCATGAGCTCTCCATGTGTCCTTAGCACAGGGCAACCTACCAGCCTCGTGCACAACAGTCACCAGCCATGCTCAAAGTCACAGCTGTGCAATCACACAGCATGAGCATGGATCAATTTTCTGTGCCAGTTAGTAATAAAGATTTAAATAAACAGCAGGCTTTCCCTTGTGGGCCTGAGGTACATTATTTCTGACTTGCCCTAAAACCATCTCCCAAAGCTTCTGCAGTTCAGAAAACAATTAGGGCTTCACCTATCCTCTTTGAGCACAGACAGGCAGTGTGTCCAGTTCTTCCACCCCTGGGGCTGGAAGAAGGCATCTCTCAGGTGAACGCTGCAATGAGGAGCCTCCAAACTCAGAGAGCAGTACCCACTTCCCAGATCAATCAGGGATGGGCAGAGTGCTGCAGCGATTCTTCCTGCCATCGCTGTCTAAGTACCACACAATCAAGGCTACAACACACAATTCGGACGTGGGTAAGAGCAGCCTTTCCCGCCTGCCCAACCTGCTGATCTTCTAATACTTTGCCACAAACGAGCATCTAAACTTCCCAGTCTTTCAAACAGAGCTCGGTCCCCCATGGAAGGATGCACTTTTTGCTATCTGGGATGGAAGTCTCCAGTTATGTTAATGAAAGCTTGTCACGATCCAGTATTCCTGGATAACATTCCTACTGCACTCCTGTTGGTGTACTAATCCTAAGGAGAATGTACAGCGTCTCACTGCGAGGGAAAGCCTGACACAATGCTGCAACTACGTACATCACCTTACTTAATCCATGACTACATTTTCATAAGCCAGGTTGAACTGAGAAAATAACCTGTATTTAATAACTCCAGTTCTAAAAATGGAAGTGAACCAATGTCTTCAATTTTCCTCCGAGCTCTTTCCCATACTTCTTGAAACCCTCACCTTCAAGCCGCTCAATCATGAACCACCCCCATCCCTCTGCCTTTCTAAAAGCAGTTCCTCCCCACACCCTGCCAGACGTTGCTTCTCCTTACGCTTATTGTTCCTTCCAAAACTTGCAGACCATACGCACATTTCTGTCTGACACGGGCTTTGAGAACGTCACCAGTGATGCTGCAGAAGCAGCACAGGAATGGGCATTGTCTGGCCGGGGACAATCCTGGCACACGGCTGCACATTCTCCTCCAGCCACTTAAGCAGTCCCAGAGCTGACAGGCAGGAAGCTTTTGGCACATCCTGCCACCGACAACAGGAGCGGGAAAGGTGCGTCAAGAGAGACAGCTTTGATTGTTGCGCTCTTTGTATATTTTTGACCCTTCAGAAAGCAATCAGCTCCTTCACCCATGGCCTGGATGCTTTTTCAGAGTTATAAATAAAACACACTGGGAAGTAGTGCATATCCTGTAGTTTCACATAGTCCCTTTACTGTTTTCCTGCATATTAAAACTGAAAGTTAACATTCAACTGTTTTGTTCGTTTCAGAAGGCTTCACCTTACTCCTAGTGATACCTGTCAAATTCATCGTTATGCAGGCATTATGTCCATTCATAGGTAAATAGTTAAGCAGTTGGGAAGACTGAAAAAAAACACCAACAGCAAAGAGTGAAGGTTTTATACTGAGGGCCTGTAATGTTATTCTTCCATCAAACACATCAAAACACTGCCAATAAGAAAAGTGGCTGCTCACCAATGTTAGAAACAAGCTAAATTTCTAGAAAGGTAATTTAAAAACTCAGATGTAAACAGATGCTAATTATGTGCAGAATAGAAAGCATCTAAGAATACTTATCAGATGTTATTAAACGTCATATTCCATCACTCAATCATGAAAAATCTCATCTTGTACATATTTTTTAGAAAATAGCAGCAAGATTCATAAGAAAAATGAAAGTCTGAGAGATAGAAAGAAACTGGAAGCCTAAAAAATTTGCTGAACTATAAAATTTTGAAATATAAAATTGTGAAATTGTCAGAAAATAAATTCTGAAGAATCACACTGTATATTCAAAGCATTCCTGGCAAGCATAGAAAAGTGTCTCTATGTTTCAGGCTGTTATCACCTTTACAGTGAAAGGAAACAGCAGTTCCCACAGTGGAGCACACTGATGCAATCTTTTCCAGTGAGAAGCAGCCAGTGAATTTAAGAGGTAACAGCACACATTTTGCAGGAAAACACCTTTGTTGGTCTGAAGGTATACAAACAGAACCTTCTCTGACAGAGACACATTTAGGGATAGCCGAAGACACCTTGCAGAATCCTGCTTACATTTGCACACAGTGATTTAGAAAGTAATATAAACAACTCAAACTCAAAAATGTGCTAAATTAGACTTGTAGCATAAATTCGTTGAAGTCAGCCCGACTCCTTCGGGAAGCAGCTCAGACAGGCTAAATCAAGATTGTACTCCATAAAACCACTTGTATGGAAACTGCAAAAGCAGCCCAAGAGTCATATACAGGAAATGTATCTGACCATGGAATATTTCAGACAAGGGAGAGAGAGCACAGTATTGCCCAATCACAAGAGCATGCAATAGGTCCATACAGTGACTCATAGGTACTTCATGTATGCTGACGCCTAAGTACATGAAGCCTTAAACCTTGGCAGCAGTTGCTCTGCAGGCCTGGGGCACAGAAAGTACAGTGCTCTAAAGCAGACTCTCAAAACCTTATTTATGGTACAACCACACTGATTAAAGCTAAACAGCACAGAGGAAAACCACATCTGTGACAAAAGAACTATGCCAAGTTACATATTCAAGACAATCCTTAACACATCAGAAAGAAAAATTCATGAAACACAAAGTAGTCAAGTTAAAGTCTGTGAAACAGGTCAGAGTTTGAGGCTATCACTGAGCACTGTCGACTCAGGTGAAAGTCTACCTTATCAATTGTTTTTATGGCTTAGTTGACCTGCCCTTTGATAAGGCACGTACCATCAAGAAACGGAGTTTCTGAACAATAAAGGAACAACGGTCGTATCTTTTGTTAACTTGCAAGAGCAATTCTTGATGGCAGTGAAGAGATATGGCTCTTTACGCAACACAGGACTACCAGTAAAACACAACCCGGAGTGAAACATAACTCTGTCCCATATATGAAGTCTGGGACTTCCACAGCAGTCCCTAATGGTGTTGAATTTTGTCACACAATTGCTCACTTTTTCAGTGGCATATTAATATGATACTCGAGTTTTCTGCTAATTTCATTTTCACTTCCATACTGTTATGAAAATGGCAACAGATACTCGAATGCTGCCAAGCATCATCTTCCCTTGGTTGAACAAGCAGAGAGGGAGAAAGATGCCAGCTGAGAGAGTTGGGGCTGTTCAGCCTGGAGAAGAGAAGGCTCCAGGGTGATCCAGTACTTAAAGGGGGCCTACAGGAAAGCTGAAGAGGGACTTTTTACAAGGGCATGTAGCGATAAGACAAGGGGCAATGGCTTTAAACTGAAAGAGGGGAGTTTTAGATTAGATATAAGGAAGAAATTTTTCACTCAGAGGGTGGTGAGGTACTGGAACAGGTTGCCCAGAGAAGTTGTAGATGCCCCATCCCTGGAAGTGTTCAAGCCCAGGTTGGACGAGGCTTTGGGCAACCTGGAACCTGGTGTAGCGGACGGTTTCCCTGCCCGTGGCAGGGGAGTTGGAACTAGATGATCTTTGAGGTCCCTTCCAACCCTAACCATTCTATGATTCTATGCACCTAATTTTTCTTGGTGGAGGAAAAAGGGAGCTGGAATCCACAACAGAGAAGCAGAAGATTTAAGATCATCTTTGATTTCATCAGACTCTCTGTGTAAACTGAGACTTAAATGTTTTGTGAACAGCTTATGAGAAGATTTTTCAGGATTAAAGATCATTAGTTATACACTCAGTTATTTCTGCCTAGAAACAAGAGCACCAGCATGTTGTATTTGTTTTACTCATCTGGCTTCACAACATTCAAGTCTTTGGTTGCACAGATGTAGAGCATTAATGCTGTTCATCTCTATTCGTTCACCAATATATCACGTATAGGAAAACACAGCTCTCCCCATGAATGCTTCACCTGACTATAGAAGCAATGAAGAGGACAAAAAACTCCACATCCTGTCAATGAACAAAAAAACCCAGAAACATCTAGTAGACCAGTTTACTAAGCAAGCACAGTTTAGATTACAATCCTAAGAAGTTAGTCTCTTATTCTATCAGTGCAATGCAAAGTGACTATGGTTGCACAGTTGCCATATATTGTGCTTATTCCAAGATTTCCTCAAAAAGATCCCAGGTGCGATATGTTAAAGAACTGATTATTTTCCTATCCACAGACATGAAACACACAAGTTTCCATTTTTTAAGCCAAGGTCTGAAAACAGAAGGCAGCACAAGCCACACACTGGATCACTAGCATTTATAATTCCACAGAAATCTCTGACATGCCCTTAAATGTAGCTGAAGGAAACAAGGAAGAAAGTTATTTACATTATGCTGTTTTGTTAGATTCTCAAAGACAGGCTAGTTCCTTAAACTGCATGTTAAAACCAAGGTTCAGTTCTTTGCAGAATTTTCGTTTTACTAAAAATATTCTCATTCCCTCTTCCTCCTGCTACCTTAATTCTTTTGACTGAAAATTATATTATGGCATGACTGAGCAACCTTAAGAAGCAACACTAGCAGCTGTGCCTCCAATAGAAGCATCTTACGTACAGCCCAATGCCCAGTTTTTAAACATGACCAGCTTGAAGATCTATAGCCATTATGAAACATTTCTTTATTCATGAACTCCAATAGTATATATAAGAGTCTATTCATCATTACTTTGTGGAAAGCAATTAAAATTATGAAAATAAGGCTTTTTCTCAGGAGTGTCAAAGCACTAATTACTCAACAGATCATACAACCATAGCCATTTGCAACCATATCAGCAGGATGATAGAAATCCCAACTCCACCAGTTTTCAAGAGAAAAAATTCCAAACCGTCCATCTGGCCTTAAAATATGGGTTTAATAGGCCTTGTACTAAAAGTCTGGGACATGCCGCCACTCAATACTACTAATACAGGCCCTCAACAGATCAGGATGATGACTTCTCCAGTACAGCAAAAACAGTGAGCTCAGTAATTTTCAAGCCCTGCAACTCACCTCTGCTGATGCGCTGCTTCTCTCCAGAGAGAATGCCAGGGCTGTCAATGATACTGATGCTCTTCAGCACCTGGTTAGGTAACTGAGAACACATGAACCTGCAGGAAAGGAGGAGAGAAAAAACTAGTAACAATAGCTCTAGCTCACATGTACATTGTCTCTCGAGAGCTCCCCTTTACATATCTGCTTTTAGAAAGATTCAGGTGAGATTTTAAAAAAAAAGTTTCTGAAGTCCTAATGAACTGCTATGTTTGGCAACCATACATGCTTAAGAAAACAAAATGTAAACAGAGAGCTTCTTATAAAATAGAAAACACAGGAAAATCTTGTAAAAACATATGTCTAAATGCTGATAAAATTCCAAATTTTGCAGAAGCTGACAACATGGGCTATATGCGCAACATTAAAAAGACTCCATAAAACAAACATTTTTCTAGCATCAAAATCAGTATACACAGGAAACAATTCTTCATGTACTCCAGCTTTTGCCCAAATTCAAAGATATTCAAAAGAAAACAGAAGCAGGGAGAAAGCCATACTGATGATATGCTTGTCACTGGCGAGTCAACCTCTTGCCTGCTCCGGCAGCGTTTGAACGGTCCCCGTCACTAACCCACCACCCTCCTTAGATGGGGCTGCCAGCTGATTGAAAACAACAGCACTTCTCCCACAAACTGAGCCAAAGCTTTCACACTGCCAGAACCCAGAGTTCAACTTACACACAGCGTACTCTAAACAATAACCTCCTGCTTCTGCAATGGGAGGCAAATTCAGTGGTGGTATTACAAAAAATTAATAATTCATAAGCCCTCTGAGAGCTGTGCAGAATGCTTCATGTGTTAAATCCAAACTACTCTGGGATAGTTCACAACTGACAGACTTTACCTCCCTTCATCATAAACCGCCTTTAAGAGATTTGCGTTAAGAGTTTAATCTTCTCACCGGGTAGCAGCTGACAACCGTACTGACAAGCCCACGATATAACCTGCTGTCCTCCTGCGCAGCTGCCCAGAGGGAGCCCAGCACAGGGGGAGGCTGCGGGCTCAGGCCGTAGGATGGCTGCCCTGCCTTAACCACACTGCCTCAAAAAATAGGGTATCACACACGACAAGTTTTAACAGAGTCAAGATCAATCAAGAACTTTAAGATCAAAGATAACCTGAGTCAGGAAGAGTTCAGGCAGTCAAATATCAGATATGAAATGTAAGATATATCAAAATTTGGAAGCTATCATCAGACAGATAATGATTCAGATGGTTCAAAGGAAATCAGGAAGAAGAAAAAAAAAATCCTTACACCTCACTTCACCTTGTTTTTCATGTGACCTTGTAGTAACAAGTCTGTAACAAAAGCACACAGTATCCCTTCCTGGGTACAACAGAAATGGCAGCATCAGCTAAAAAAACATTTTTCAAACTTTCCAAAATCTAAAGGAGACACTATGTTGAAGTAAACACATTTTGTGGAAGCATAGTAGATGTGCGTAAGCAACAAAGAAAATACATTTGACCACGTCAAACAGTACAAAAAAATACAGCACTAGTATGTACAACACGAAGTAGCTTTGGAAGAAATTTGGAAGTGTGAAGACTGAATTTTCAGATATGTTTTCCTTATCACTTCATTTCAACCTCAGAAAGCCCAGCACTTGTTTAGTATCCCTGAGATATTTCTAGGCCTATCTTATGGGAAGACAGGCACCATTATTCCAGCTGAACAATACAGCAGTATTTTGACTAAGGCATCACCCAAAGTGGGACAGCTGGAAAAGGCCGTGCAAGAAAATAGAGAACTACAGGCCTCAGAAATGTAGAGACACTGCAGTCTTCGCTGCAGCCATTAGTGGCAAAGGGAAGAGGAAAGTACAAAGGAAAAGGATATGAAATAGAAGGATAAACTTGGAATTAACTGGCTGTAGCTTTTAGAATATATCCATAATCTAAAGGCAACAGATGGGTTAAAAAATCTTACACCAAACTAATATTTCAGATGACTTAAAACTGTAATGCTAGCTGTATTTGAGTATCTTTTTGACATTGAGACTTGGCTCTGAACCTCTATTTCTCACATGACCTGTATGAAGTGTGATTTTAAGTGCCGCATCCTAAAAAGCAAAACTACATATTATCTACCTAAATGACAACAGCCCTTCCAAAAAAAACCCCACCTGTTACAAAAATAGTTGTGTGAATGAGATAACTGTAACTGCTTATGACACATTAGACCTTTGATACTGTCATGTTTTTCACATTGTTGCAAAACTATTGTTAAAGAAAACCAGCAATATTACACTATCCTTGCAAAAATAAGTTACATTGTTTGCAAAAATGAAATCACTTTGTAATAATCTGGTTTTGGGGGTGGGTTTTTTTTGTTTTCTTTTTTTTTTTAGATTAACTTTGGATGACGTCTAGTAAGTATTTAATCTCCTTTTTGTGTCCATTCACATACCCATTAGAATAGAGCAGGACCATGCGTTTCTTCTCAGCAGCACCAATTTATTTCTGTGATCTTCTGATGCGCTCCAATATTCTTTCCCCAGTTACTTTAACCAGCATACAAGGGCACACTAGGTTCTGTCCCCATCCCTTCCCCTTACAACTTTCCTTAAAAGTACACAGAGGAAATAAGAGACAAGTTTATACACTCAGGAGCCTTACAGAGACGTTTATCACAAGCAGTGAGATACAGGAGGAAATAAGAAGGGGTAATGGAAAAAAGATGCAAAGTAATATCAATAAATGAATGCAGCTAACTGGTAAGTACAAGCCTTGATTGTGCTACTGTGTTCCTGTTTGTTTTTAGTTTCCCCACTACCTCACCCTAGATGAAAAGGGCACTTCACCTTGCAGTCTAAGTCTCCATAGCCTCAAGTTCTTCCATACAGCGAAACACTAGAACTGGGAAATCATTTTATTAAAACAGCGGGGGCAAGGGAGAGGGAGTGGAGAAAAATCTGTTAAGAGAGGAGGGAAAAATGTAATATTGGGTACAAAAGACTGTCAGCATGGCAAATGAGAGAAAGCAATGTAATATATGTGGCGTAATTGCAGGTAAGAATGGGGAAGTTACTCAAAGATGCTGAACTGAAGACCAAGATATTTTCAACTAGGTGAAGCAGGAAAGAGCAGAGTTGACCAGTTTTCAAAAAGCAGCAATATGATCAGAGTGGCAGACCAAGGGTGATGCTAGGGGAATACAAGCACCTAGATCCTTGCTGCAAAACTAAGGAGCAAATGTGACTGTTGGGAAAGACCAGGTTGCTCAAAGCACTGCAATATAACATCATCGCAGTCACCAAAAGAACTGGAATAATTCAGTCGGTTACTTTGAATGTACATCTTTTTAGCTAGCAAGTAATATTGCTTGAATAAGATTCAGGACCTGACACAACTAGCTAGACAGATGATTTAACCAAAAAATTACGTGTATACCAATCACCCAAGCAAACGTGTGGCATTATTACATGTTCCATGTAAATACTTGAGTATTGTGCAAAATATTATTTGCGGTATG